TTGGCTTTAATTTCGATGTTGGCAAGCCTTTGTGGATTGTGTCTGAGCACATCAGTGGCGGTGATTTATTCAAAGCCAACAAAAGAGAAACGAATCCTTTGACATCTTATCAAAAGACAAAAATCGCCCTCGAAATCGCCCAAGGAATGGAGTATCTTCATTCCAACCGCATCATTCATCGTGATTTGAAAACATCAAACATTCTGATCGACAGCAATGATAACTCGCCAAAAATATCTGATTTCGGGTTCTCGAAAACGAACATTTCGTTGTCGATGACAAAAGGCGTTGGGACACCGAATTACATGGCACCTGAAGTCATCGAAGGAAAGAATTACAGCTTCGGTGCAGACGTCTTCTCTTTCGGAATGATTCTCTGGGAGCTGTATTCAGGCGATCATCCTTACATGTGGCCCAAAAGAATGAGGAGATATAAATCTTTAAAGCAAATAAAGTTGCCTTACTCGAAGCCAATCCATGACGATTTGAACCAGCTCATTGCGAAATGCATCGATTTTACGCCTTCCAAAAGACCTTCTTTCAAGCAAATAATCGAGATGATGATCGAGAAGAAAATTGCTTATTACGACACTGACTCGAACGGAATTATCGCTTCAGAGGAGTACAAAAACCAAATTGATGATTTTTATAATAAAAAGAAGGAAGAATTGGAAACGGAAGAGGCAAATGACGACCACGATGATGACATTCAAAGCTTGCTTGGAAGTTTAAAGCACTAAGTTTATATTGTAGATCGAATAAAATTATTATACGCGAATTCCTTTTTTTTTTTTTTTTTTTATAGGTGCGGCGATCGGAGGTGAAGTGTCAAAAAAAAAAATAAAAAAACCATAAAATGATTTGATATTATATTTTTAAAATAAATTTATATTTAAAGTAAAAAAATATATATTAATATCAAACTTTTACCGTTAATTATTTGAGATACAAATTGTTTGCCTAATTAAATTGAAATTTTGTTTTTTGATAAGATACAACAGTAAGGTTGTAAAATTCAAAAACGTCTCAAAAGAGGAAAATCTACTTTTTCATAGAAAACGATTAAAATGAATTTAAAATAAAAGTCAAAATAACGAATTTAATTCAAATTTGGATTTTCCTTTATATAGGGCTAGCACGAAATAATTAGCAAATCATTTGATAAAAAAATCTATTCCGAATTAGCTTCGATCAAAAAAATTATTATTGTGTGCATTTTTTCCAAAAAAAAAAATTAATTTTTCCATAAATAAAATTTTACCGCAGAAATTGTGATCAATTTTTCACAAAAAAAATTTTTTGCGAAAACGGTTTTTGGTCTAAAGTATTAACCTGTATTAATTTGAAAAAAATTTTGAGCAAAAACAATTAAATCATGTGAAAAAAAATGTAAAAATAAAAAAATATATTGAATAAAAAAATAAAAGAAAAAGAAAATTTTAATTAATTTTGATAAAAATAATTATGATTATAATTTTCACTTGTCCTTTAAAGAGTTTTTATATTTATTTTGTGACAAAACTTATGACATTTTCGATAGATGCATCACATAATTGATCATTTAATTCACTATATTGAATATCTTTGAGAATTGGTATGATATCATATAATAATAAATTTGTTCTTAGCTCACATTCATGATGAGAATTTATAGATAAGCATATTAAAGTTTGTAAAATAAAAAGTAGATTCACTATATCTTCAAAAATAAAATCATTTAAATGGTCACAAATTATTTGAAATAATTGAGAATCGAAAATTATTTGAGTAGATAAATTATTTTTTGGATTCAACAAATATGTCAAACACTTGATTGATATAGATTTTGTTTTTGCTGGATATTTATGATAATTTTGGATAATTTTTGTCCATAATAAATTAGAAATAGGGTTTTCATGAAGAATGTTGACTCTGATCATAAATATTTGATAAATTGAATTTATCTTTTGATAATTGCTTGATTCTAGAATTAACAAATAGTAATTAATGTTTTATTTATGCAAAATATAATAAATTTTCTTGTTGTTGATTTCTCCCAACCTTTTTAATATTATTAATATTAAATCAATCATTTCTTCTGAATAATAATTTTTGAGTGAATTGAGACATATCATTGCCAAAATTTTTTTTTTCAAATAAGTAAAAAATTTTATTTCAATTTTCAAATAAGCAAAAAATTTTATTCCAAATTTCAATTACACAAAAATTTTTTTATTCAAATTTCATTTAAGTAAAAAAATTTTTCATCCACAAGATGAAGTTAGTCTTAGAGATGGATTTATTAGTATTTAATAAATAATAATTTATTTGAAATAATTAATTTAACATATTATTAATGAATATACTAAATTTTTAGTTTTTTATAAATCAGATTAAGATTGCAAAAAGGGTTCGACTCTCTCAAATTTTTTTTGATTGAAAAATAATAATATCTTAAAAATTAAATATTCTTTCTATTTAATAAATTCTTAAATCAATATCTGATAAAATCTTTATTCATTTAATATATCTTAAAAAACAAAATATTTGTTATTTATTCCATAAATCATTAAAATAAGTGTTTTTATTATGATATTTGAGGCTTTTTCTTAAATGATTTATTATTTACATTATTTATATATAACTTAAAATATAATAATAATTTTTAAAAAATTATATTATTGATATTCAAGAAATTATTGTTTTTTATAAATAAAAATTTTGAATTAATAATTGAATAAAATACTAGTTTTTGAAAAAATTATTTTGATTATATCAGAATTTTGAAAATATAATATATTTATTAACAAATACCTATTATTTGGATAATATATTAGTTATATCATCATATTAATGATTATATATTTATTATATATAATATAAATTATATATATATTATTATAAAAGATTAATTTACATTTTTACTCAGTTTATATGTATATCACAATTGAGAATTATTTATAATAACGTATTAATTCAATTTTATTTATGATAAATAAATTTATCTTACATGATATTTAATTAATTACTTTTTAATTAATTTAAAATATGTAAATAAAATTATGAAAAAAGAATATATGATATGAAAGTTATAAAATATTTATATATTTGGATATTTACAAATTCCCAAAATCTCTTTGAATGGTGGAAATTAGATAAGAACTCAAAAATATTTTCTCATCTCAAAAGTTAAACTTTTTCTGTTTTTATTTTTTTTAGTGAAATATCTCTATTTTGGCTAATAGAATCGGCTTCATATTTAAAAATGCATCATGTTATTGATAATGCCAATATTATTTATTATTAATTTTTTATAATTTTAGAATTTGATAACCGCCAAAGGTCGAACCCTTTTAGATTGCATAATTTAAAATTATATTTAAATATCTAATAATATTTTTTATAACTGCACTTTATATTAATTTTCTTGAAAATAAAAAGAAAATTGTTGCAACAATATATTTAGAAATAATTAAATTCCATGTTACAAATTATTTTTATCGATAGAATTTTATATTTGAGGGAAATTGATTTCAATTTTATTCATTTTGCTTGTACTTTTTTCTCAAGAGATAGGACTAAATTCGTTATATCGAAAACCGTTTTCGAACAATGCCATAATAAATTCGTTATATTGAAAACCGTTTTCGCTAAAAAAATATTTCTATCAAAATTGCTAATAATTTCTGCGGAAAAATTTTTGTTTTTGAAATTTTTTTATTATTTTTGTCAAAATTGATTAGAAAAATCAAAAAATTTTTATTTTCTCAAGTAAAATTCCAAATTATTTCATGCTAGCCCTATAGCATTGCGAAAATGGAAAATCCACTTTTTGAATGATGCTCATTTTTTCATATAGAGATAGGAAAGCACTATTTGATGAATATAATGTCGCAAACAGCTGTGTGATAAACTTAATCATGGAAATATTATTTCTTAAAATGGTAGGTTTAAACAAGATTTTCTCTCTATTTCTTTATTTCTTTCATTTTTATTAATGAAAATTTTTTTCTCAAAAAGTCGATTTTCCTATTTTGAAACGTTTTCCAATTTTGAAACCTTACTGAATTTTTATAAAAGACTTTAATTTCTTTGAGAAGAAAAAAAATAGTGAGCTTACAAATACATAAAAATACCATATATATTATGAAAAATGATAAAACTGAATATTCTTAGAAAATTGCTGATCTAAATTCAATATATAAATTTCCTTTTGTTAATGAAACTATAATGAAAATATAATGATTTAATAAAATAAATTTCCAAATCCTCATAATTCATGCATTTGTTTTGCAAATATTATATGAATATCTACCATTATCTGTGCGTATTTGTTTTGCATATTATTAATAATTAAAAAATATAATTAAATATTTTATTATTATTTTAACATATTTATTATTATTTTAACATATTTATTATATAATTTCTTGATTAAAGAATAAGATAATAATGCACAAAATAAAATATTTTTATATAACATGTCTTAAATTCAATTGAAATATATCTTTTTTTATATCTTAAAAAATTGACGGTAAAAATTTTATATTATTTTAATATTATATATAAAATTAAAAATAAATTTGATATTATAAATTATATTTATTTCTATGGTTTTTTTTTAATCTTTATCTCAATTTTATTTAAAAAGACAAAAAAACGACACGAACCAGATTCGAACTGATGCGGGTAAACCCATGGGGACTCAAATCCCACGCCATAAACCACTCGGCCATCGTGTCTTATATCATATTATATAAGTTATTTATTTTAATTTTAATTTAAATTTATTAAATGACATTGACTTTCACGTTAAATATATTTTTTATCAAAGAAATGATATTTAGAAACCAAAAGCATTTAGTTTTTTGTCAGGAATTTTGTGTCATGAAAAAAATATTCAGTTATAACATTATTATTTATATATATATATATATATATATATATATATAAAACCCATAGAAATTTACTATTGATATTTGTAAATTTATTCTAATTTTAAATAAAAATAAATCAAAAAATTCCGACACGGGGAGTCGAACCCCGATCCTGAGGTTGAAAACCACCAATCCTAACCGTTGAACGATATCGGACTCCCTGACATTATATATTTAAATAATAATATAAACATTAAATTCAAAATATTAAATGCCAAAATTAAAATATAATCATGAAACAGAGTAATTAAATAATTTTACAAATATATAACTTTTTGAATAATTATGTAAATTTTTACGATAATTTTCAGAATTTTTTCAATTGATTGATTTTTTTATCAGAATTTTTTCAATATCACAACAAAAAAATGACGAAGACAATGAAAGGCGCGATTCTCCCAGGAAATAGTACAGTTGAAATCAAAGATTTCGAGATTCCAAAACCAGGTCATGGACAAGTACTTGTTCAAACGAAAGCATCAACAATATGTGGTAGTGATATCCGTTGTATTTACCGAGAACACACAGGCAAAGGTGCTGAAGGATACATTCCAGGTACAGTTGCAGGTCATGAACCATGTGGCATTATAGTTGAAGAAGGCGAAGGCCTAAAACGATTCAAGAAAGGTGATCGTGTCATTGTCTATCATATTTCAGGTTGTGGAGTTTGTTATGATTGCCGACGCGGTTATTACATTTCATGTACCAGCAAATATCGCCAAGCCTATGGATGGCAACGCAATGGAGGCATGGCACCCTACATATTATGCGATGAGAAAGACTTAATAGCGCTTCCAGATCAACTTACATACAAAGATGGAGCCCAGGTAGCATGTGGCTTTGGAACAGTCTACGAAGCCCTCGAAAAAATTGGGGTTAACGGAAATGATGCAGTATTAGTCACCGGACTCGGGCCAGTTGGCCTCGCTACGTTAATGCTGGCCAAAGCACTAGGCGCAAACAAGCTCATTGGCGTCGAAATAAACGACTTTAGGATCGATCTTGCAAAAAGATTAAATCTTGTCGATTTTGCCTTCAAACCCGGCGCAGACTGCCTCCAGAAGATTCTCGACGTAACAGGCGGGAACGGCGTCGAAAGAGCCATCGACGCCTCAGCAAGTGATCCCGGAAGGCATCTCGCTATCCGTGCAACGAGACCTTGGGGAAAAATCGCTTTCGTTGGCGAAGGCGGAACCTGCAACTTTAACCCGAGCCCTGACATCATCCACGGGCAAAAGTCAATCTACGGCTCGTGGGTGACGTCGCTGTGGAAGATGGAGGAGCTGGTGGAGCATCTCGTGCGCTGGAACATTCACCCTGGCGACCTGATCACGCACGAATTTCCACTTGAAAAGGCGGGCGAGGCATACAAGTTGATGGCTGATGGGAAATGCGGCAAAGTTGCTGTTGTTTTTGATTAAATGACAATTCATTCATTTTTAAATATTTTTTTTTTACATTATTCATATTTGATTTGATTAATTTAATGCGTTGTCAGATGCTCACAGTGATGCAAAGACACTACTTATAGATGCAATTACACTGTCTCTTGAGACGAAAAACAAAATGATTTTTAAAAGTATAGATAATATGTTTATTTATATATTTATTGATTTGTTTCAAGATCTTTGTGATTCACTCCATTCTCTTGTTTTTATCCAGTCTCCAAATGCGACATTCCCTTCTGGATCTGTTATCACTTGTCGCTTGTATTCTGTATAATTTGTTGTGTCAAGGTAATAGTCATGAACTGGCGCTTTAGGTTTCGGTCCTGCAATTATATAACGTCGTCCTCCACACGAAACCCATTTCATTTTCTCTTCTCGTGTTTTATTTCGTTCGACTTTCGTTTCTTCTTCAACTTTCGTTTTCTTTTCTTCTGTCCATTCTCTCATTACTTCTGGTGTCGTATATCGAATGTTGCCATGCCAATCTGTGATTTTCGATCTCTTTTGGTCTTGATAATAAAACACTTTTTTCTTGTTGACTCCTTCTCCAACGTTTTCTTCCTTGATTAAAACTTTTTTCAATTCTTCTTCTTCCTTCTTTTTGTAATCTGGTCGAACAACCTGAAGTCTTTGCGTTGGAACTGGGTTATTTCTATGTGCGAATTCAAATGCTCTAACATATTCAAATCTCGTTGCCTCATCATTTCTATAGTTCAATGAGTCAACAAAGAAACAAGGCATTTGCGGATTGATGTCACTACATCCTGGAAGAGTTTTGACGAAATCAACAACTTTCTGACGATATCTTGTCTCCGCAACTTCTTTGTTGAAATAATTTGGATAACATCTTGTGAAAATGATGCCTGTTTGATTCCAAAAGTCAGGATTATTAAAGAAATCGTTAATCAATTGGATGAGCCTTTGAATACCTTGATCAAAACGCGGATTTTGAACATTCAACACGATGAAGAATGCATTCACTCCATGTCTCCATTCTTTCAAGAATTCAACCATTTGTTGAATGTATTCTGCATCAAGACCATCTGTTGACGCCAAACCTTGTGTATCAATATAATATCTTGCGATTCCATTGACAACATTTCGTTGAGCACTCGTTCGATATGTGCATGAATCTGGACTACTGTTTGTTTCAAATGCGTCATCTTTTTCTAAGAATGCACACCCATTTTGTGATTTACCAACTCCACTCTCACCAATCACCAACACAGTGACACATCTTTCATTACCTTCCTCAGTCATAATCTACAATAAAATGAGATGAAAATTCAAAATAATTCAAAATAAACTTGATTAGCAAAATTTTTGGAAATTTTCATTTTGAACACTTTATTTGGCATTTTTGCTTGACAAAATCTTTACTTTGGAAAATTTTAAATTTCTTTGTGGAATTTTTGCTTGACAAAATCTTTACTTTGTAAAATTTTAAATTTCTTTGTGGAATTTTTGTTTGACAAAATCTTCATTTTGGAAAATTTATTTGTCGATTTTTTTTTTCCAAAGATTTCATTTAAATGTAAAAAACGATAGAAAATAATATGAATGACTTCATTTTTATTTTTAGAAAATGATCAAGAAGGTAACAGTTTTATCATTGGGAGAAAGTGGAGTTGGAAAATCGACATGTGGATGTGTCTTTTTGAAAAATAAGAACGCATTCGACACAGACAGTAGTCCTGATTCTTGCACTTATAAAACAAGTTCTCAATCGAGTATCATCAATGGGATAGAACGACATTTTATTGACACACAAGGACTTGCTTCACCGGATGGATTAGATGCAGCATACATCACACAAATGGTTGACTTCTTGAAGAAATGGGAAAATGGAATAAACGCGATATACATCATCATTAACATTCAGTCTCCGAGATTTGATGCAGGCGTGCAACAAATGATGAAGATGCTTAACAAGTTATTCAATAATCCAAACTTTTGGAATCAGACGGCAATCATCTTTACAAGATGTTATCCAGGCCATTTCGATCGAAATTCTGCTGAAACAAGATATCGGAACCTCGTCATCGATTTCATTAAAAACCTTCCTGGTTGTCAAAACATTAATCCGCAGGTGCCATGCTTCTTCGTTGACTCTGTTAATTACGAAAATGATCAATCAACGAAGGATGAATTCATTCGGATATTTGAATATGCGCATGGGAAAGACAGCTTGCAAACGCACGAAGTTCAACCTGTGAGACCGGAATATCAATCGAGAGAAGAAATAAAGATGAATCATGTTTTATTGAATACGAGTTATTCAGGAAGTGGAGCCAGTCGTACAAAAACAATGACGTACGCAGATCAACGGAAGTATAAACTCACAGATTGGAAAGGGAACGTCACATACACACAGCCAGAAAACATCAGAACATGGAATGAAGTCATAAGTTCAACATTCCAACAAGAAACAAAAGTAGAACAGAAAGAAAGCACACAAGAAATCTTTAGATGGGAATCATGTGGCGGTCGTCGATTTGGATTTTGTGGTCCAAGACCAAAACGGCAAGTTCATGATTATTATTTGATCACAACAAATTATACAGAATATCTACGTGATATAATCATCGATCCAGATGGAAATGTGACATATGGCGATTGGAGGCACAACCGTGATTGGTCAAACCAGAGAACTGCTTAATTATTTAAAACTTGTCTAATAAAAATAACTGGCATAAATCAATTCTTCAGAAACAAATCATTTTTGAATGAATTTTATTTAAAAAGACAAAAAAACGACACGAACCAGATTCGAACTGATGCGGGTAAACCCATGGGGACTCAAATCCCACGCCATAAACCACTCGGCCATCGTGTCTTATATCATATTATATAAGTTATTTGTTTTAATTTTAAATTAAATTAATTAAATGACATTGACTTTCACGTTAAATATATTTTTTATCATAGAAATTGCCCTTCGGAGGTTTTAAAAATTACGTTCGGTTAACCATTTTCACTGTATAAAAAAAAAAAAAAAATTAAAAGAGGCTTTGAAAATTGAATTGTACGGAAATGCAAAAAATAGACCAAATATTCTTTCAAATTCATAATTTATCCGTTCTAATATACCCGCTTCAATGAATTATAAAAAATTGGAACAAGAACCTGTTTTTTATAAATTAATTTGGAACACAAATGTTTTTGATGTTCCGTTTAATGATCTAACATCCTCAATAAATCCAGATATCTCTTTCGAAATTAAATCCAAAGGGCAATATCAAATAAAATCGGATATCAGTGAAAATGTACTCAAAAATTTCGTTCAATATTTAACCGAGTTAGAAATACCTGATTTTGGAGTAGATAATATTTTAGAATATGAACGACTTAGCAATGAATTTGATATAATGAAGAATCTAGTAAATCTATATAAAAATCATATGAATTATAAATTTTTTCCTTTACAAGCTGAAAACGAAGAGCTCAAAAAAATGATTTACGCAAAAAGTGACATTTTACAACAAAAAACTCAAAACAACCAAAAAATCATTTATTTTTTGTTCTTTAATAAAGGAATTGCTTCATATGTCAAGCTAAAAAATAAGCTTTTGATACGAAATGCATGCGAAGAAGAGAATGTTTCTTTGATTGACCTTTACACCCGATTGAAAGTCGAAATAGACGGAATAACGTACATCCTAGATGAGGAACAAAAGACTGCTTCTGTTTATGGAATCAATTTTTGCG